AATTAAAAAAAAATAAATAAATAACAAAAATAAATAAATAAATAAATAAATAAATAAATAACAAAATAACAAAATAAATAAATAAATAAATAAATAAATAAATAAATAAATATATAGATTAGAAAAAGCCTTAGATCCCCTTCTGTAGCATTGGGGTCTATAATGGCTCTAGCATGGTCAGCTCTACACTAGATGGGATTTGTCAGAACAACTTTGGGTGGTTGTTACTGAAGAGGTTTGGTATATATGCAATGTAACGTCTTCCATTAGGCCTCATCGCCTCCATTACCACCATTGTTAGTATCATTATAATGAATATTTCATTGTTTATAACCCTTCACATCCTCTGTACAGCTTGAGGCCAGCACCCTCCAGCTCTCGCTCCGTGCCAAGTTTGCCGATGACACGGAGGTCAGGAGTCGTGACCTTGACGAGCAGGTCAGGTCAATGAATGACCTCAACCAGATGCTGGGAGAGAAAGTGAGCAGGCTTGAGAAGGATAAGGCTGAACTGATGATCAGGACGCCCAAGGAGGATTGGGTGCCTAAGTTCGACTATGACACGTGAGTTCAACTCTATACCTATACCCACCGATCTGATGTAATAACTCGCATGCAGCTTGCCAAGATAATGAGGGGGGGGGAGAAAGATGTTTTATACATTGTTAAATATCACTAAATGCGAGCGGTCTATGTAATGTGTAATTAGGTTGTGGAGAAAAACAAACAAGATCTGTCAGTGAATTGGGACATATTTAAATTTTTGTGATTGTGTTACTCTGCAATTAACTATCTCTGACAAATTGGGTCGCTCATGATGCAACAAGGGGTTTGTTTTGGGTACCGCCCCCCCCCCCTTTTTTTTTAAATCTTACTTTTTTGTTGTTGAGAGTTAGAACAAGTTTCTTTGAAAATAACTTGAAATACTGCAATATGTTCCATGTATGCGCTTTGCAAGTAAGATGTGGTGACATGTTTCCTACTTATAATTTATTTATTGAAAAGGGGGAGGGAGAGGGTGTACATTTCAAAAGGTGAGGGAGGAAGGATAAGAAGGAAATACAGGAATTTTATAATTTATTAATATATTATTTCAAGAACTCTCTGTTTTGTATTTCAAAAAGTAAAACAATCCTGCCTGTGATGACTTTATCCCCAAATCATTCAGGATTGAGAAGGATAAGATCAAACTGGAAGCAGACTATGAGATCTTGAAGGCTGAGTATGCTGAGCTTGAGGCCAGACATCAGAAGTTCCTTCAGGACCATCTCTCCAGGACTCTAGACTCCTCAGGTCTAGGACTATCCCTCAGCAACCTGGATAGGAGAGGTAGGTCTAAAGTGGGGCTAGTAAGGAGTTGAAATAATTAAATAATATGGACTGGCCTTGAGGGAGATACAACATATATTTCACACACTAGACTCATATTGCCCGAGTCAAAGACGAGGGCAATATGGGTCTTGTGAGGGCAATATATGTGGTATCTCCCGAAAGTTAAGCCAGTCAATATTGTTATTGTTATCCAAATCAGACATCTAGAGCAAATACATAAATCAACCATGACAATCTCATAGAACTGAACAAACTTTGTCATACCAGCACTGTGCATCCAGTGCTTGACAAAATTTTCAATACACTGCAAACAGTGTACCTAATCTGGTGTGATTAGTACGTCACAACAGAGTGCGCGCAAAGTGCGCAAGTTCTCGTACTCGTATTAGATGCGCAATGAAAATGATAAAATACGGCGCTGTGAATATGAGACTTTATTTCCTGCTTTTTTAACACTTAAAGCCCTTTTAACACATTATATAGTAGTTTACCATTGTATGCACTTTTCCCCAAAAATTGTTTGTAGGACTAAATTTCATTCTCTCAAAGTGTTTTAGAAATTGGATTTGATGGGTTTGATCTGTAATTCCTAATCCTGTACATAAATTAACTGGTCCATGTATGTTTTACTCTCTGTTTTTTGTTCCTATCTTTATTTTCTCCCTCCCTATTTCATGTTACTCTTTTTCCCCCTTTTTCCCTTTTTTTATGTTTTTTTGTTGTTGTTTAATTACAAATACTGTCACCATCCCATTCTCTCTCCTGTTATCACTCTGCCTCTCACACTGTCTTGACTACTCTCCCTGTCCCACTATATATCCAGATGATCTGGGTGAGCTACGCAAGCTTCGTCAGGACAACAGCTCACTGGAGAGACAGGTTGAGGTGCTACGGGGTCAGAGCCACCTGACTGAGAACGGCAAGAAGAGGGCAGAGGATCGTTTACGTAAGAACCTCAGATTTAACTTTGTGACTTAACCATGATTGCAGGGACTTGCAGGGGTCAAGTGAAGAGTCCAAGAGGTCACCTTAATAATTTATACACCAGTATTATGACAGCTCAACCAAAGCCTTTTTTTTTAACACTTGTCTTGAAACCAATAGATGAAGCAATACCAATGTGTTCTTTTGATACTATTATTTCTGTTATGATTAAATTTAAAATTGTTACAAATGGAATATTCCAAGGAATTGTGCGTTATAAAGACATTGGTGATCTATGCAAATCCTGCAACTCTCTCCGAAACTTTGGAGTTCTTGGCATAACTGAGGTGTACTAATTTATCTTAATCCTATATCTCTTACATTAAATTAAGAATTGTTTCAAACAGTATTTACATGAAACTTTTGAATTATGTTGAATGAAGTCTTTAAATGCCAGAATAAGTAATCATGATTTAGAAATAAATAATATAGGAATTAGATTTATCATTTTCAACAAAAATGAATCATTCAGTGTCAGTTAATTTGATATACAAAATCGTCATTATGTAAATAACAGAAAGAGATATGAAGTATTACATGTTTATAGTCATCATAATATAAATAATTTAGAGCAATTGTTACTCTTAAGAGTTTTACGGGAATATTTACAGGATTCAACATAGTTGTAAACGGATCCTTGCTACTATTTCATACTCATAGCAAATCCAAAACACCATTTGTATATTTACCCCCCCCCCCCTCCCCCCATCCCTTCCTCACCCTATCCTTATATGCATGTACATTGCGATGTAATGCAATTCTTCCTGATCTCATATATATTAATGCATGCCATCATTGCTGGTCACAGTTCCCAATACACCTCAGAACAGTAAGTAATAACTACATTTGCACCAAATAACAAAACAAAAAAATATAATCTGCACAGTTTTGGTTTTATACTGATTTGTTTTTACTTGTATATGTCTTATATATTTATGTACATTATTGCACAGGCAGATGGGAAAATGTAAAGTTTGCCTTTAACTTGCAAAATAGTTGTTATGTACATGTAGTTATTAGATTTGCACATAATACTTTATAATTTATTACAGTACAATTTATTCTGAAACAAACTAATTGTCAAGCACAGCCTCAGGAATTCAGAAAATGAATAAGCAATGAATGACAAACATCAACTTTATGTAATGTTTGCTTGCGGTGTTATTTTGTTTTTTGTTCTGCTAGATTAGGTTGCTTTAAATGTAGTGAATTAGTTAATTGGGCAGCATAATTAATGTTATAATGTTAAAAAGAAAGTAATTGTTTGTGGTGAGAAGAGGATTTGGCCTGCAATGCCCATCTTGGTATTTCATTGAGCTTGAAGATCCTCATATCAAAGTTTTCTGCAGATTTTTTTTCTTCTCTCTTTAATATCTGCTCTCTAGTCTCTACTTCTTCTCTTCATGTTTATAGAATCTGTCTGTATGTCTCTTTTATCTTTCCTATCTCTACACATATTGTTATACTTCTCTGTCTATCTGTCTGTCTCTCTTTTTCTCTCTCTTCATCTCTCTCTCTCTCTCATTCTATCTTGCTCTCTCTCTCTCTCATTCTATCTTGCTCTCTCTCTCTCTCTCTCTCACTTTCTCTCTTATTCCATCCCTGATCTCAAACTCCTTTCTTCCTCATTACCGTTTAACTTTAGCTATTATGATACAATCCTCTTCTTCTCTGTCCCCCTCCCAGCTCCCAGCCAATTCTCACAATTGCCTGCTTCTTCCTTTATTTTTTGTAAATTCCAGATTCACTTTTAATTTAAAGGCTATGCTCGCTCTCTTTGATTTTGTTATATATTGGGAGTGATGATAAATTGTACTTGTAAAAATTGAACCGATTACAAATAGCCAAGTAAAGAGATATGTGTGTGTTTTACCAAGGTGCAATTTTAGTCCGTTTGAAATGAGATTTGATACATGAAGGAAACATGAGTTTACTTTAATAACATGCCTAATAGTTGTATTGGACTGTGACCAATACTAATGATAAAACAACAATTCTACATCTTGTGAATAAGGCCATATAAAGCAAAAAGGACATATATTTGCAAAGATGATGAGTATATGAATGAGGGTTACTAATAATGATAAAACAAAACATTACCGGGGAAAAATGAATTCTTAGTTGTTAAAAATGTTTACCATTTGCTTGATAAATCAAGACGTCTTTTGCAGTAATCATTGCTGATTGTCATGCTATAGGTATACGAGTGATGATGATGAAGGGAGATTGGCATGATGATCATTTCTGTGTGTACGTTCAGAGTAAAATCTCTGACATACAATATAAAGTCAGGATACAGCCCTCTTATTGTATGATGCATGTATTAAACTTGGCAAGGGCTAAACTAGAATGTATTCCAGAGAACCAGATATACACATGTACTGTATGATGAGTAGTTGCATACACACTAATATCCCCTCTTAACTCGCTTACAACATCATATGCCATCGTGACAGCTCCTCTGTAGTCAAGTTCCTACCTTATCAGAATTCCTTCCCTCAACCCTGACTATACCTATACCTAATCATAACCCTAACCTAACCTATATGTTCGACAAGAAACAGCCCAAAATAAATACTGCAGTATGATAGTTGTTGAGACACCCTAACTCAATCAAGCATGTTATTATTTTCAATGGCACATCTGTACCAACCAGCTCAAACTCAAATGATGGCAAGGCTTTTTTTTCCTGCTCTCTTTTTGAACAAGTTTTCAACTTCATGCCTATTCATTTTGTCATTTTGCACTTGCTTATACAGGTCAGATAGAGGGTGAACTGATGGAACTTCAAGGAAAAATGTCAAATGAAAGGTAGGTATTCTTTTAGGAAACTTTAAAATGTAATATAGAGGGTTTTAGCTTAGACCCATCAGCGGACTATCAGTAATAGGTTCGTTGACGGAAAATAAATTGATTATTGAACATACACCTGACTGCTAAGAAAGCAAGTAAAACCTGTCTATAATTACAGAAAAGTGGTCTTTCAAGGCAGGTGGTTTTAATGTATAAGTTCCTTAAAATGTGGTCTTTGTAGACAGGTGGTCTTTCTATACAGCTGGTCACTAAAGCAGGTTTGACTGTATTTGTTTGTTGATTTGCAATGTATGGACCCATGTCTTTATACCCTGCATTGGGGACTTTGTAACTGAGGAATAATGATTGAACTGTATTGGATACTTATCTAGTTCAGCGGTCAGCGTGAATCCCAATAATTGTAGTCCTGCCAAGTTAAAAATGTATACTTTGTGGAGATGAATGATCTTATATTAAACCATGTTTTATAGAATTGTACATTTACATGTATACTTAGAGGTAAACGTGAGATAATGAAAGCTCTTCTTTGCATTAGAAACTTCATCAATGCATTACAAGTATACAGTAGGCTTGCGGTTGCACCATGTGAGAGAGCAGGAGGATTGGGGAGTCCTGGAAAGGACTGTTGGTAGTCTTTCTTTCTTGAGTGTGTGTAGTCCTGAAAAAGACTGTTGGTAGTCTTGAAAAAGACTGTTGATTATCTTTCTGAGCTCATACTTCTAAGGAGAACTATAGTGCCGGTTGGAGAGGATGGGTACTAGGAGTGGCTCAACGTTTCAAACAGGTTGACTACCGTAATGCTCCATGTATAAGACGCACTTTTTTGCCGCCAAAAAAATTGATAGTCAGGGGGTGTCTTATACAAAGAGATTTACGGTATCCGTCGTCAGCATTACAAGTAGTCGTCTTAAAAAAAATTGCACACTAATTAATAACAGGGAGCATAACCGGTACATCGCTGACCTGGAGATTGAGACCCTTCTGCGTGCCCAGCTGGACGAACACAAGCAGATCATCAAACAGCTCCAGACGGAGGTTGCTACCAAGAACGTTGCTCTGGAAAATGTTACCTTCGGTATGGAAGACAGGATGGTTGATAAGGCTCGTGAGATGGAGAGGGTCATCAAGGAGAGGGATGAGCATAGTGATGCAAGGAGGAGGCTGGAGCAAGAGAAACTGGTTCTAGAAATTAAGGTACAGTCAAACCTGCTTTAGTGACCACCCGTCTACAACAAGCACATTTTTTGTTTCCCTTGAAAATGGTTACTCATTGAAACATGTACTAAATGAACCTGTCTACAAAGACCACCTGTCTACAACAAGCACAGTTTTTGTGTCTCCCCTGGGTGGTCGCTGTAGACAGGTTTGCTGTACAATAAAACCTACTTTAGCAACCACTTTTGTTGAAAGACCACCTGCTTTATCAAGACCAAATTTTTCATCTCTAAAGAAGTTATACACAGGTTCATTGTATATTTACAAACAGTATTCATAAATTGCTGATGGAATTATGCATTCAGAAGCAGTTTTATGAATATCTGCAGACTTATTGCCTCTTTTGGGGTCGTCTTATTATTTGTTGATTCATTATAGCAGTGATATGCTTATCAAATTGATAATTTAAGACTTTTTGTAATTGAATTTAATTGTCTGTCCTTAAATTGCTCATAGATGGTTCATGAGATACGTCATAGTAGAGGGAGAAGCTCACAAAACAAGCTTCTATAGTTTCGGTAGATTTTGATTGTATTATACTGTCCTATGTACATTTCCATTCTTCTTTGATGTCTTAAATCTGTTTGCCTGCATCCTTTTCAATGACCAGAAGCTGCTGTTTGAGTAACTACAGTTTGAAGTTGTTTCTAAATGTGAAATAATTTCATTTTCATTGTAGATCAAGGAACAGAAGATGCTCTTGGAGCAGCTGAGAGACGAGAAACCAAGATTATTGCAGGAGAGGCAAGGTGAGATTAGCAGTCTCCAGGAGCAACTCATGAGCGCCAACAAGAACGTCAGGAAAATGGAAAATGATGTCCGAAATCTTGAGGTAGGAAATTCTCTCTTTGGTATTGATTTTTTGTTGTTTGAACAATGAGGAGACAAAGTAGAATGACAGTAGATGAGAAATAATAGTTATGGTTATGATGGTACATGGGTTGATGACATTAATGAGGAACATTTACAAGGTACATGATGAATTTACTTGTGTATATAACAAAGAAATAATGTGGAGATATCGATGTCTAGTGGACAAGTACCTGGAATATGGATCAAAAGGTCTGTGGTTCAAATCCCAGCCACAGCACTAGTAACCTTCTGCAAGAAAGTAGTCTTCTTTTGCCGATGTCAACCTTTGTGCAGTAAATGAATACCTGGTAAGAAAAGGAATCCATTAATACTTTCAGACAGTGACTATAAGTAGCCCAGTGTTTAATACTTAGATGTTTAATACTTGGATTTCACTAGCCATTGAAGTTAATGGCTAGTGAAACATAGACTTAACTCCTTAAGGCCCAAGTGCTCTGTGACACATTAACCACTTTATCTCAAAATGGCCAAATGGAGTTACGTCTTTGTGTCACTGACCCCTAGAACTGTATGTTCACATTGTGAATGTAACTGTTGGCAATTATCATAAATTCCTTGAGGAAATTAATGATAAAGATGAATCATCTCTCTTCAGGAGCAACTGTCAGACAAGGATCACCAGCTGCGTAGGTTCCAGCTGAGTCAGTCCTCAGAGATCGAGGGTATGCATGAGGAGGCTACCAAGCAGATCAAGGAGCTACAGCTCCAGCTCATGAAGAAGGAGAATGAAGGATCTGAGATGAGGCAGGAGCTGAACAGGAGGGAGGATGAAATGAGACAGGTTCTCCAGGGAAAGACCAAGCAGGAGCTGGAACTGGATCAGGTATAGAATGATTGAATTGTCTAAAGATTTATTCATTGATTCATTTATTTATTTATTTATTTATTTATTAATCTGTTCATTTACTCACTCATTAAAGTTGTTGGTCTAATTCAATTGTTGATTTTTTAACTGATAGATTTATTACTCACTTGATAATGTATTAGGATTGATGGTGTATGAATTGTCTGATGGAAGTAAGTGATCAATTTGAATGATTACTCACTTGAAGGAATGAAGTGATTGTGGGAGTTTATATGATTACCAATCAATCCATAAATAGCATGTATTGTATGCTATAATTCCCTTAAAGAGCAATTTGTCAGTTCCGTAAATTGATATAGTGTTGATTCCATCGTCCGTCTTTCAAACGTATTGTAATGCTACAAGAATAGTGAAGCATGCCTCTGTTGTGCACTGTTCAGAAACAGAAAGGAAAGAAACATAACATTTATGTCTTTAGCATCAAACAATTCCCAAAAAGTGTAGTAAGGTATCTTTCGACGAAAGTGACCATGCATGTCACATTTGTATGCCTAGATCAAGGGTGAAGCTGGCTGAATAACAGAGTGTCTTGCAGAGCTGCCAAGTAGTACGTTTTTTTAACGTATTAATACGTTTTTTGGGGGGAAAATACGTCTGTACGTTTTGCTGTGCCAAAATACGTTTTTTGAAAGTTTCGAGTATGGCTGTGCGAACGTGGCTAGCGGCTGGCTGTGAGAACCAGCGTATGCATAGTTTTGCTATTGCTTTGTGTTGGCGATTCCTGCAGCGCGCACGCATGTACATTGCACACAATACAGGGGATGTACACCACTAAAAGACGAGCACATTTCCCCAGGCCATGCATACACACGCTGATGACATATCAGTGCACTGCACTACACACACAGTGTCAGTACAAGAAAGTCCCGATCTTACTTCCAAAAATCCATTCCAAAAGCCAAATTTTGCTGTCAAAAATGCGGAATCAGGGCCATATTTCCAAAGCTCACGGGGGTTTAGCCCAGTTTTAAGAAACAGCTTCACCTAAAAAGCGCTAAAAATCAAGAAATCAGCGATTTTGTTACCAGTTTTTTCGCCTATCGCAAGCCCTTCGAGTGTGATGGTAATCATGGTATCTTCAAAAAGTCAAATGAAAAACGAACACCGGACCTGCTGATGCATTGACTTTATGTACAAAGTTGATTGCAATTCTAGACTTGCCTTGATTCGACCGCAATGAAGCACCAATGGGTGCCCCAACTTCGGCAAAGAACATCATCGTGTGTTGCGCCGCAATTCAGCGGCCCTCGTACTCATCGACTTAAATTCTTATAGTTTTAAATAATGGATTTTTCTGATAAAGTAGGTAAATATATTTAACAAATCATATTTTTTTATATTTTTTTTTTATTAATTTTTTTTTTTTTTTTTTTTTTTTTTCAAGTGACAGGTCGGCAGCTCTCAATGATAGAAAGCGTTTTTATTCAAAAAAACATGATTGCAGTAGCATTTTATAGGGAAAAAACGTAAAACAGGCAAAAAATGTTTTTTCACCTAAAAATATGGTTTTTCAAGCTGAATAATATGTTTTTTGAAAGTGACAGGTTGGCAGCTCTGGTCTTGCAGTTGATGGCGAGAAGTGCAAATGAGAAAAAATTTCATTCCATTCTTTCTAGATCCGTGGTGAAGCTGGAAGAACAGTAGAACATCTGACAAGCATCGTTGAGAAGCAGGAAGGTGAGATCATTCGACTGAGGAGTCAAGTAGAAGATAAGATGGAGGAGCTAAGAAGATTCAGAACAGCACAGGTATGTAGGATTCATCTATAAAATTAAAAAAATTAAATGAATAAAATATATACATTAGTACCACAAGACATAAGGGTAAGCCCCATTTTACTACAGTCAAACCTGCTTTAGTGACCACCTGTCTACAAAGATCACTTTTTTTTTTCCCCTTGAAAATGGTTTCTCATTGAAACATGTACTAAAGGAACCTGTTTACAAAGACCACCTGTCTACAAAGGCCACTTTTTGTGTTTCCATTGGGCGGTCGCTATAGACAGGTTTGACTGTATTAATGATAATGCTAAATGTAACTGTAAATCGTTCCAAATTTGACCCCTAAAGTTTATGTGGCGATAGGTATTGGATATGCCACTAATGCAGGAAAAGTGCTGATAGCTTATTTTTTTATAAAACGGTATGGTTCGACCTCTAGCTCCGAATTTCTCTAATCATTGCTACATCCACTGCCTTGACAATTTCAAAATTTAGGAGACAGATTTGAGAATGATTTGTAGTTTTATCTATTATTGATTATTATCTGTAGAATGGGCCGTAATCTGTTTTACTTTTTTTTAATCCATGTGTTCTCAATCCAAGTGGTACTGATCTTGCCAAGCCTGGCAAGACAACCTTTCTGAATCTGTTGTGCAATCTCTAGCAAGTTTTTTAGATTATCATAGAGCGATGAAATAACATCATAGAATAAAGTTAGAATCACACATTTGATTACCAATACCTATTACAATTAAGTTAATTAATGCATTTGATGTCAAATAAAGGTTTTAAAAATGGCACATTTTTCTGAGATGATGCATTTTTGGTGAATGTGCATTAATTTGTGAAACTACAGACTCAGTCTTTATGTTTTCATGAATTCCATCATCTTGATAAAAATATATGAATTTTCTAATGTCAACTTGTCACCAACATGTATACAACCGTTCTACAATCAGTTCATAATTGACCCCTCTACCCCTACATGTACCCCCCCCCCCCTTCCCCTAACTCGACAGGAGAACGACATGGAATCACTAAAGCAGACGCTATCAGACACCAACAAGAAGTATGCCAGATTGCGGGATGAGAAGGAGATGAATGAGACTGAACTCCAACAGAGCGTTACGAGACAGCTCCAAGAACTAAGGAGAGAGATGGACAGGAAAGAACAACTCATCAAGAACATGACCGATGAGCTGGAACAAGAGAGGATTCAGAAGCCAAAATTAAAAGTGAGTTCTATTTTATTTTTCAGTGATTTTGATCTGACCATCAATTTGAGAATATGGTTGGTTGATTAAGCTTTGGGGTTATGGGAAATGTAGACTATGAAAGTTTAAAAGAATTATTCTAAATCCTCAATCCATTTTATTTGTGCAACTGAAATACAAAAGTTAAATGTACAAATACACAGTACAGTTAACAGGATGACTAAAGCATGTTTTAGAGCCCCTGTATGGATCACCATTGCACTGATTAGTCTCACTTCATTATCATGGCCTATAGTTGTTTGGGAGCTTTTCCAAGAACTACATGAACAAGTATAAGCCTGGTCACTGAATTTGGTCACTTTTTTCCAATTTTATTTTCAGGAGGCGATGAATGAGGTAGAACACGAGCTGACGAGTGTCAGGGCGGAGCTAGCTAAGGTCAACGGCACCATCAAGATCAAAGAGACTCAGATCCAAGACCAAGATAACCAGCTCAGGGACGCTCATGAGAAGGTAAACAATCCAGCTAGATTGAAATACGCAACCAGGGGTGGATCCAGGATCTTCCAAAAGGAAGGGGTGTGAAAAGGACAAAATTGCAAGCGCCAAGCCTTTAAGGCGTAGGGTCCGGAAAATGTTGAACCTTAAGATGCTCTATGGTACATTCTTAGGCATTTTTGAATGAGTAAACTGAATTTTCTTTTTTCACCTTTTTTCACTGTTGTTGTTATTATTATATCCTTACAGCATGACAACTTGATGAGAGAAAAGATGGAACTAAAAAGAAAAGTGGAATCAGAACAAGATAATTCGTAAGTGTTGAGTACTCTCCACCGTCATCGAATTTAAAGTGCCACTGTCCTACTTGTAGCTACTTGTGCCCTCTATAGGCGAACAATGCCTAATCGGTGACCATTGGTCCACCATGGTCCCCTTTTTTCTTATGTTAATTGAGAGCTGATTTGATGAGATTACCACCTGTCAGTGACCACGCAGGCCCAACTAGTGCAGACGGGCTTTAACACAACACCAATGTTTGAATAAAGAAAAAAACTCTTTTAGATAATTGATACCACCTAGAATGCTGAGAGGGAGAAGTGGATTATAACAGAGAAATATTAAGAGGACCAATACAATTATTTTCTGTCTGAATAACTTTTTTAATGACAGAATATTGTTTTACATTTCACTATGTGTCTATTGTCCCCATTGCCAGTCTGTGTGTGACTGTCTCTGGAGCAAGAGAGATAAAGAGGGATCAGAGAACAGTAGTCAATTAATTCATAGGGCTGGCTCCCACAGTAGATTGTAAACTTTTCCTCACAAATTACCCACATTAAAGGATATGGTAATTGCACTTCTTATACATATGAAGCAGCTGTATAGATGAAATGTCATGAGGTGGCTTATCCTTGATCTGAGAAGGAGCCCTTATTGTAACTTCCATGATCCCTTTGGGGCTATTCATCTAATCATTGAGAAACACCTGTTTAAATATTTTCTCTTTTCCTTCTTTGTTTATAGAAATGATGAGTTGAGAGAGTTGAGGAACAAACTGGATTTCCAGAAGAATGAACTGACTATCCTACAAGATATGAACAGAGCCATGGAAGGAAAGGTAAGTTGTTGGATAACTTTATTGTGTATTCATTCATTTTTGTTCTATTGGGGAGGGCTCTAAGCATGACTAATGTGTGGAGCAGGAATAGCTGCTTCCCCCTCCTCCGAATAATAATGAGAAATTTTGTGGGGGACAACTAACATTCTGCCAGTCAGCTCATGTACATGATATGTATTTTCTTCATTCTGTTGACTTATTGTTAAATTGGAGCCAGAAGGGCGTTAACTCATATACAGTTTTTTAACAGTATGTACTTTAACTCCTGCCCACCCCCCCCCCCCCCACCCACCCGAACTAGCGGGATTTACAAACGGGAAATTGATTGCAGTTTGCTGTAAGATCATGTAATATTAAAAGAAGTTTGCATTTTGAAGCAGTTTCCTAAAGAAAGTTTTTTTAAATGGTGTATGCATGCAATTTAACTACTTCTATTTTGAGTCTTGGCCCAAAGACATTCTAAAGGTACATGAATAAAATAGACAATCGATAGGAAAAGACTTTTTGATGTACACAGTTTGTGATGTTATACCGGTACTTGATCTGTAAGAAAAGGTGCAGGGAGCTTAATTTATTTCCGCAACATCTTTGTTTTTCCACCAATTTTCTTCTGTAAGAAATATGCCAAAGTTAGATTTAAAGAACCCAATGGGATATTGAAGGTAAGATGGAATGTGACTCTGTTTTCTTGTAGATGTCTTGGACATGTCTTCTCTAGAGACTGATTGTGTGAGGTTTCTCTGCCGTACGATTCAATATATGAAACAAGTTTGCTGGGACTTTGCTGTATGTTTTCCTCTAGGGTTTCATGACAATGGTTTCAATGATATTGGGATTTCTTGGCTTCTTTTTTTATTTCATCCTGGATTTTCTTTTGCTGTCCACTATGATTTGAGAGATTGAAGGGATTTCAACCAAGCATTGAGCATGCAATTTGATATGATTTTGTTGTAGATGGGGTCATACAGTGTATGATTAGCTCTTTGTTCTTTTTAGCACTTTCAAATGACATTGTGCAGTTGTAAATGTTATTTTCTACTGTGTTTGAGAGTTATAAGTTGAATGTTCATCTTTACTTTCCACTGGGGTTTTTTTCCTGTAAATCTGCAACATAATGAATTGCCAACTGAGGTCATTGTGGATTACTTGCATTTTTCAAATTAATTTTGTTTGTTCATTTTACAGTCTGAGGATGGCAATTTGAAAGTAAAGAGGTAAGTTGTTGTTTTGTTTGCCTTGAATTATTTATCATTCGTTCAGGAAGTAATTTAAACAAATTCATGATAATGATACAATAACATGTTTTTGTCAGTGCATGACATTTTGTGTCAAATGTAATTGCTTTTAAAGCCCCACTGCACTACTTATAACTACTTGCGCCCTCTATATAGCAAACAATGCCTAATCGGAGACCATTGGTCCCCCATGATCCCCTTTTTCTTATGTTAATAGAGAGCTGATTTGATGAGATAACCACCTGCCACTGACCATGCAGGGAGGTCTAATACCTCCTGGCAACACTGGTGCTATGGGGCTTTAAAGCTTCATCAATTTATCATTTCCAAATCAGTTAACAGTACATTAATTGATGTCAAGATGGCACGGAGATCAAACAATAGAAAAAATGATAAAGTTATTTGATCTCATTGTGTGACTTTGAGTTATCTTGTGGTGTTTAATTGTTTTCTTGTGTTTCCCCTCCCACACACGCATGAATTGCGAGTACAGGTATGAGGATAAAGCCAAAGGTTTTCAGGAAGAGATTGGTAACCTGAACAGACTGGTGAACAACCTTCAGAACAGAAACAAGCGATTGGAAGAAAGCAAAGATAATCTGATGAAGGATATGGACTCGCTCCGGGATGGTAAGAACTTCTAGGATATAGTATGTGGAGTCTTGAGTGATGGTGTAATATTTTAATAGAATTTTTATTTTTAAAGCCCCACTGCACTACTTATAGCTACTTGCGCCCTCTATATAGCAAACAATGCCTTATCAGTGACCCAACGTCCCCATGGTCCCCTTTTTCTTATGCTGATTGAGAGCTGATTTGATGAGATAACCACCTGTCAGTGGCCTTGCAGAGAGGTCTAATCCCTCCTGGCCAAACTTGTGCAGATAGGCTTTAAAGTGGTTAGGAAGATGATTAATTGCATGTGTAGTATGGCAAGGAGGAGGAGTAGGGGATAGAGGGTAGTAAAGATAATAGACCAATATTGGAAAGCATTGAAAGTTTAACAAGCAAGGTTAAGAAGACAAAAACCAAAAAAGCAGAGTAAAGAGAGAGAAGCGGAAGAAGATGTGATGAAGAAAATGGATGTAGAGAAAGTGAAAGGAACAGGAAAAAAGAAACAGAAAGGCTGAGGAAAGAGGATGATGATAAAAGAATAAAGAGAAATAATGACAAGTGGTAAAGAAAACAAAAGGACAAGAAGTTGAAGAAGATAAAAGAAAAGAGACAAGACAGAGAGGTAACAGGATGGGTAAAGAAAAATCACCACCAAGAATACAAACTAAACAAATATTCAACATATCTAGGGATCTCAGAGATTGTAGACGTCACTGTGTTCTCTCCTACAATGTACTTCAAAGTTATATTTATACATGCTGTTTATCATGGTTTGTGAAATAAAGACAAAATTAATGCCTATCTGCACTAGTTTAGCCAGGAGGGATTAGACCTCCCTGCATGGTCACTGACAGGTGGTTATCTCATCAAATCAGCTCTCTATTAACATAAGAAAAAGGGGATCATGGGGGACCAACGGTCACCACTTAGGCATTGTTTGCTATATAGAGGGCGCAAGTAGCTACAAGTAGTGCAGTGGGACTTAAAATCAAAAGAAATGAAACATGTCTTCCCCCTCTCCCCTGCAGAGAAATCCAAGTGCTCCAAGTGTGGTCGTCTGGAGAGCCAGTACCAGGAGGTGCTGACTGAGAAGGAGAACCTGGAGGAGGATAACGAGGAGCTTCACAAGGAGGTGGAAAACCTCAACAATCTGCTAACCCTCAAACAGAGAGACAGTGCCAAGGAGAGGTAAGAACTTATTACTAGACAGGATGTCAAACCACCACATTGCTGCAAACCGTTCCTTTTTTTGAAGGAGTGATTCCTACATAATGTAGTTTTAAAAAATTGCAGAATAGAGTTTGAGACACAAAGTTTGAGAGTTTAAAACAACAAATTGTTAATACTAGTATGCACAAGTAACAGGTAAGATAGTCTATGATTTATTTCTACAATTTTTTTCTCCAGTACTGTCCATGCTTGAACCTTCATTAGACATGCTGTACAAAGTTTAAATTTTAAAGATTTACCATTCTTTTGTTATGGGGGAAGGTAATTTTGTCAAATGTCATTGTAAAATTACAAAAGTTACAGAAATACATATAATTTTTTTTTCCTCCTTCTTTGTTCAACAGTCTAAAGGTAAAAGAGTCACCCTTAAAGAGAACTCCAAACTCTACCCTCTCCCTGGAACGCTCTCAGACCTCCAGCAGGGCGTCGCCCATCTCTTCGACCACGCCCTCACCCAGACCTGGCTCCGGCAGAGCGGCCACACCCCAGCAGCTTGCCGCTGCTCTCAAGAGGCTTTCAGTCAAGCAAAGCCCGCAGGGAGGGGCAGCAGCAGGAGGAGGGGGCGAGGACAAACTAGCGCTGTCCCCGGAACCTAGGGAACGTAAAGGCCTCAAGGACCTGGGGAAGGCCAGTGGCTATGAGGATAGGAGGAAGTCACTCAACAGCATGGAGTCTAGGCTACAAGCACTCAGGAGCTCACAGGTAGGGACGGTTCTGTGTCTCTTATGGTGGCTTCTTGTATAGTACTTGTGTCTGTCACGCTGTGCCGTCTTGGTGCTCCAACGTTTGGACATGAACCATGTAAAAAAAAAATATATTACCAATGTTTACATTCTTTTTAAAGGGAAAGTCCACCCCCAAAATAAGTTTGTTTCGATAGAGGCAGAATAATAAGAAAATCAGGTGAGTGAAAGTTTGAGCAAATTCTGAATGAAAATAAGAAAGTTATGAATTATTGAAGTTGTGATCAATCAAATACAAATTGGCAACTCTGTGACTTATTATACGAGCTCTCCTTCATTTGCTTTGTGCATAATATTCCATAAAATCATGTTTTCTTCGTTATTGATGACGGAATATATATTTGTTCCTTGCAGGGGGAGTATAGAAACATATTTGCAATTATTATATTTAGGGTGCATGTATGGTTGAAATTTTTCTTGAGGGAAAATGAAAATTTTAGATTTTTTTAGTACTGAGCAAATGGAAGTTGAGCTCGCATGATACGTCATAGAGTTGCCAATTTGTGTTTGATTGATCACAACTTCAAAAATCCTAACTTCCTTATTTTTAATCGGAATTTGCTCAAACTTTCACTGACTTGTTTCTCTCATTTTTCTACTCCTATTAAAACTAACTTAATTTCAGGGTGGACTTCCCCTTTAAAAAAAATTGAACCTTGCAACATGTTGCCAATGTTAGGATTTATGGCTCATTTCCTTTCTAACATTCCTGGCATCTGATGCAATATGTTCATTCAACAAAAATGGACAAGGTGTGTGCAGATGTTCTTGCTTTTCCTGCTCATGCATCTGTTTAGGTTTTTAACCTGTAATCACAAAGTGGGGGCAGTTTTCACGAAAGGCTATCTGTTCTATTCTCATATAGGATAAGACCATCAAGGATATGAAGAAACCAGCTGTGAAACCAGATTTGAATTCGACAGGAGGAGATGGAGGAAAGAAGCAAGCTAGATTTGTCTTGCCATCAAGTAAAAAGTTTGAAAAAACCCTTGGCTCCACAGGAGGCTCATCTAGATCAAAGTAAGTACTTATAGCATTTTTTGTCTTCTTCTTCCCCTCATTTTTGTTCCTTTTAATTAATTCAACTGATGAGTTATACTATGGGAACCACTGCGCTGTTGTCAATTTTGTAACGTAATTCCCATCGTCAACCCTGGACCAAACACTACACCTAAGCCTAACCTGAAACCTAACTTTAAACCTAATCTAGAACTTGACAGCAACCCCATTTCTTTTGAAAAAAAATTAAGCATGGAGCAAATGTTCAAGTGTTCTGTAAATATGTACATTTAGTTTATGCATATAAATCAGTAGATGCTGATACTCCATACTAATAAAGTGACATCTCTCTTATTTGACTTTTTTTTCCTTTTTTTTCTTCCCCCAAACATGATAGAATCCATTTAATATCCTAGGGAACAATTTTTTTACTATTTTCCTTTTTGTTTGAAATTAATGAAAATAAAAAAGACATAATAGAATAACGATGCCTTATGTCAAGAATACATTATTTGAAATGTGAGCATGTTTGTTTTTGTCACTTTATGATAGATGTTTTGATACATAATAATAATAATCCTCAGTTTTTATACAGTGCTTATTACAATCACTAAGCGCTTCCAAATTTGGAGATTATTACCCTATGCAAGCAAAGAAAAACATTTTGTGTGTGTGTGTGGTGCTCTCTTCAAATTTATCAACTTTTAAAGTTGTAAATAAATGTACTCTGCTTTTGATTTAATGAGTTATTTTTTTTCTTAAGAATATTTTGATGACAAGTTTTTTTTTGTATTTGTCTTTGTCTTTTTCTTATACAGACTGAACAGCACAAGGTGAAGAAGAATTTTAAATGCTATTCAACCATATGCCTCAACATTTAATTTCATTTCTTGCATTTGCACACTGAAAAGCAACAAAGCAGGCCTTAAATTAAATTGTATTGTATTCAAAATTAAAGATCAAATGTTTCATATCATGTTGAGAACAAATTTATAATGTTACAACAATAAACAACAATCATGCATGTGTTTCTATCAATTTTATGTAATTTTGTAATAATTGTCTTTCATTGTTCCGTCTTTCTTTCTTGTATTTTATCTTTCTGAAACCTATAGGCCTCCAATGGATGATAATGAAGTGTAAAAATTGTAAAGTATTCTTGTTATGTGTTTTTTTCAAAATCCATCAATTTTTCTAATACATTCATACCAGCTCATGTGAATAATGATAATAATTGATTATTATATAAAAGTGCTTTAATACACACCCACGTTGTACACATAACTACCCAAATCACACGTCATTGTGTATATTTTGTTGGGTTGATGTTTTTTTAACTAACAATATCATAAGCTACAGGTACGGCAGAGTGGTGTTAAAACTATGCTAAATAAAGAATCGAAGAGCTGTTAACAGATTGCCAAGAATTTTGATACGAGTTAAGATTGTACATGCAGCATGATATATATACAGTATGTAGTGCCATCTGAACAATATACACACAGCTCCATGTATGTAAATTATTCATGATCAAATACAAGAGTGGCTTTTACAGCAGTAATTGCACATACTAATACCCAAGTCACAATGATGGGACTGACGCCAGACTGACAATAGACCAAACAAAAAAATACTTTACCCGAATGGCTAAGAGTCATTAGGTCTGGAGTTGGTGTTGTGCCTAGGGTTTAAAAGAAGCATGAATCAGAAAAAGTTTGGCAATGGATTTAAATCAAGCAGTGTGGCTTGCAAGTATGTGTACTCATTTATAGTGATTCCTCATTTTTTTAAATGATGAGATTATTTTTAACCAATGTGGAAATCTGCTTTGAAACTGAATGATGTAAGTACTCATGATAGTGACATACAATTATGTTCTCAACATCATTCCGGTGTTATCATTCTTGTGTTAGAACTCATTCAGTTCATGAATATATATAAGCCTTGAATCCCTTACTCAAGCATAAAGCATGATACAAATATTATGTTTGATTATAGTGCTTGTTTGGTTATCGCTGAAAATCAAACTATAGAATTAAAATAATTAGGCACATGAATTCAATATTATAAAGAAATATCTGATAATTCAAGAATTTCAGGACAATATTTCAATATTTTTTTATAATAGAGATTTTTAACATCTGTATCCCCCCATAGTGAAGTCAAGTTCTAGCGATTTCCAAGAGCATACAACATACAGGTTACAAAATTGTTATCACAAGCCGAGTGTTTGCAAAGAGTACTAATTTAATTTGATCATACTGCATACTAATACATGTACAATCATTATGGGTGCTGCTTGTGTGGAAATGCATATTATATGCCTCATTCTTCAAAAGGAGAATGTAATTCATTTTTTATACAATTTACATGTTTTTGTACCACATACATTATGTCACATTTTTGGAATCCCCAAGATTTGTCATGGATATTCCAGTGCACAGTTGCATTTTCTAACATTTTGGGCACATTCACAGATTTGGTTCAGTATATACTTAAAAAAACAAAGATACTCATTTTTATACAGTTTTTATATGACATATCATTTTTTTAATCATCAATGTTTTGTTGGGATAACTTTTCAATGGAAATAAAAATGTTGTTCCCTAACCATTTTTGAACATTCACTAATAATGCAATCAAAGTTTTTATATGAAACTCATTTTTATAGTTTGTCAGGTTTTTTTTATACCACATTTATCAGCTTTTGAATTCCCAATATTAAATCTAGATATGCAGCTGTATTTATATCACTCATTTTGTAATAATTTGTTTTAATTGCATTTGCTAACAGTTTGGTCACATTCACATACAGTGTTATTGGATTCAGAATGACTATGTTCTTTTTATGTCACTGTGCACTGCTATTGCAAGATGGTATTAAACCTGTATGACAAAAAATGCTTATGGCAAAAGAAGACCACATATTGAGGTCTTATGGATGGGGAAATTTATTCACAATGAGTATTTGTTTTTTGTTTTTAATCGCTGTAAGTGATCGATAAAAGTTTTTTTTTAAAGAGTGATGAATTTTTCATAAAGCAGAAAAATACATAATGCAGAAATTTACACAATGCAGAAAAATGCAAATTTATTTTATGCTCTTTAAATTTGCACCTTTGATTCAAAGCATTTTTCTGTGTATGGATGTTTGTATTAGTTTCTAGTTCATGTTGACTGCCATGTCCATGTTCATTACATTTGTATTTGCTGTTTCTCAATCAATGTTGGTTGATTGTCTTTTGAAATATTTTCTTATATTGTTTTCTTTGTATCAGTAGAGCCTAAAGAACAACAAAAGATAAGAGACAAAATTTATGCAGAACATTTAACTTGAGAGCAAAAATTATGCACATTTTTTATTAAACAGCCTTTTGCAACTTTCTACTATGCATTTTTTTTTCTCAGAATCTCTCAGAAGAAATGTGTACAGTAAATTCAGATTGTATACAGATGTAGCTCATAATGTGGACATTCATTAAAGGGGTGAACAAATATATTTGTACTTTATATTGAATGGCAAACTAATAATTATGTAGCACATACAAATGGATTTGTGATTGAACAAAGAGAAGGCATGCAGGCATGTGTTTTTTTTGTTGATAAAATGTAATAATTTGAATGTATTGCCTGCTTTTGTTTATATACAGGAGTGATCGTACAAAAAAAGTTGTATTGTTTGCAAGCATCAACATTTTTTGCTTGAGGATTTGATTTGTTTTTAAAGATTGTGTTTTTATCCCTGTAAGAGCCAGTATGATGACATAACCTTGCCAAATACTTGTTCACTTGCATTACAAGAAACGTTGTAAGCCGTCCTGTATAGTAGTAAGAATACATGTATACTTGAAGGTGTTAAGTTAATAAATCGACTCTTTATCATTGACAGAGTATATTATGCAAATGTAATCATTAAAAGAAATATTTATGAGCTAGGTGTATTCATATGATATTGGTCAGAAAATATAGGAATTAGTCAAGATACACTGTCATCCTAGGAGAATTGCACACATGTATATAGCATCATAATTTGTCATTGCCCCCCCCCCCCCCCCCCCACTCAGTTTTGTTTTTATTTGGGTTTTTTCCACCCATCTGTCTGACTGTCGGCACAATGAAAATGACATGGACAAAGGTCCAAGGTCATTTACTACTGAGGTGATACAGATGGAAACAGCATTGGAGGCAAAGTCAAAATCCCCAAGTTTAATTTGCTAAATCTTCATGCTCCAGTGCTCTCTTACTTTATTTTTATTCCTTATTTCCTTCAAAAAAAAAAATTATTGATTTTTCATACATGTATCATTGATATAGGTAATCTGGAGGCTCCAGGTTTTACACAAAGTATATATTGTATTCATTATTTTGTAATTTTAGGAAGATTTTTGACAAAGTCCGTCACAGGACTCAAATAGTTCTAAATTTGAAACCATTCTTTACAAAGCTTCTCCGTAAGTGTAGGAATCTAATAAAATACAATAATGATTTACCATTTCATTCAATAGACTTGTCTCACCCTTGATTTTCACATTTGAAATCCGTCCAAATCAACTAATGGTCTTTCTGCAGCTCAACAGCTGTGCATAGAATGGCATATCCTTATTACAGCTTCATCATGGATTGAATTGCAACATAACAATAAGGGAGTTTACAGATAGCACATGGTACAAATGACCCCAAATATCCACAGATCTTTTACACATGGAGAAGTTGCACTTTGAGCATATTAGAATAATAACTGCCAAAGTCCTAGATGTGCTTCATGAATACCTTTTGTTTGCCCTCTTGAAAAGAATACTTCTACCTGCGTATCATAGAACGTACCTTTGGTGCATAAATGAATAATGTTACATAACTTTCATGAGTGCATATCCAGTATTCATCTCTGTGAGTTTTACCTTTTTGATACAAATGACCTTTATCTGCCCATGTGCAGATTGTATCTGTAAACTCCCTTGTATAACAACAATTTTAAATTTTAACGTGGGGGAAATCAGCACTCCATTATTTGAAACATTTGCACATTTATACGACATGTACATAACAAATGAATTTGGAATCATGTCAGTTCATTCCATCAAACTAGTAATGTTCATTAATCCAATAGTGTCCTTTTTTCTATATTTGATTTACCAATGCAATCTACTTGTACATAGATGTGTGTAGCTGCTTTTGTTACTTTGTTTGTGGTACTCCAGAAAATTAGTAATGCAAATTAGAAGTTTAATTCCCTTCATTAGCATTATCATGTGTCCATCGATTTTATGTGTGAAAGCTCACTGTAATGTACTTGTATCTTTGATCAAATCTTTATTCTACATTGAATGTGTGCTAAAGGAACAAAGTGTGTAAATGTCATTTGAAATCTGCCATTAGCTTACACTATGCGTGTACTTTAAGCTTAATCCAAATTTAAAGCATTCATCTATCTGTAAATAGGATTGTGTTTAGGAGTAGTTCAATAGGAATGGAAAGTATTGCCATTATGAATATGAATGGATTCAGGAATTTGTGGAGAAGTCATCAGAAATGTTAATTATTCAGAATTATATGAAACTATATTATTGAATTATACAGTAAATGATCTACATCAAATACCCAGTCTGTGAAGGATGGCGAGAAATTGCTTTCATTATACACAGATGTAGCGAAGTATGTATAGCTTGTCATCAGAATAGTGTTGTCGTTGTGGGACCTCAAGACCTGGAGGAAATGTTTTCAGTAAGCATCATGTGTCGAGGTCAAGACCTAGTCCAAGATCTAGACCAAGTCCATGTAGCCTTGATGGGAAAAGGATGGAAAATTTTGCTGAGTTGAATAATTCACCAGTACTATGATATTGGGTTTGACTCCGTTGATCGGAAAAGTAGTCAGTGCTCTGAACGTAAGTGGATAAATCGTTCAATATGTAGGTATCCCTTTTCTGGCCAAATTACAAATTGACACTCCATGTTGTGTGTGAGAGCATGTGTAAAAAATTTCATTTATTAAATAGAATTATTATCTTTAATGCTTAAATTGGCAAAAAAGCTTAGGGAATATAGCAGACCATTGTTCCTTTGAAACCCTGGATATTGTCCTATGTATAGAAAAGTAAAAGAAAAATGTCATACATGTATATCTGTGGAGAAATTTTCATTTATAAAATATTAATCAATCTCTGTACGACAATTGAATCGTTCACGGTGGTTGTTCATTATTTGAAAAACCTATTTTTTTCTCAAATACTTGAAGGAAAATAAAATAAATGCAATACAAGGTGGACTAATTGTTTTGGATCCCATTTTATGTTCTGTAGTTCTCCTGGTGCTCATATAAAAGAAGGAAAACTACATGGAGTATTTCATCCAAGTCCTTCTAACGGTGTCTAACAATACAGTTTCAATTATTCAAAAACTGGAGGCTGATATTATTTGTAGGTCTTCCAATGTTTAATCAAATGCACATGAAGGGAAACTGAACAAAATGGAGGTCATTTATTTGTAATATTTTGTGGATTGTGTTGTCACTATGTACATGTGCATAACATACAAGGAGAATATATAGGGGAATATATACGAAAATATTATGGTACTTTGTTGAGATTGTATTAAAGCATGTTTTTTTAATGACAGCATGTTTGGCTGCAAATTACTGTACCTTTGACCAATTAAACAAAAAATGACCATTCCATTCTAGTACTAAATTAACCCTTGCTTTTGAATTTAGTATTAATCATTCCATCACAAGATCTTGCTTACATTTTTTTAGAGGAAAATTTTATTATCATTTTGATTCAACTTGTGTATGATATGTGTGAATATATTAATGCATTCAACGATAATAGAACAAATCATTTCAATGATATAGCTTGAAGACAAACACCAGAATAATGTTACTACGTAAGGTCGAGCCAAATTTCAATTATTTTATAGTGCATGTTTCATCATTTCCTATATTGTTTTTCAAACAGTAGCCTGATAACAAACTTCAAGTTACTTTCAAGAAACATTGCCCATATGTTTACTTTGTCAGTTTATTATATATGTGCACATGTACTGTAGGTCCCGAGACATTTATTCTGGTGATTTTTCCCTTTTTTTAAATACGAGTCTTATGTATATATGTATATACATTACCTCACGCTTATTAGCCAATGATGCACTCCCTAATTTTAATGTTATGAATAATCTAGAATTCTGTAGTCTTTTTCTAGCTTGAGTATAGAATTGTAAAAGAATTGTGAAAGAATTGCATCCCCTTGTCCTCTGTACTTGCTGTGTCAATCAGGCGTATATTTGTATTTATTAAATAAAAAGAATAACCCATTGAGAACTTTGTGTGAATTAGTGGTCTTTTTGTTGTTGTTTTGACAGGGTGATTTTTTTTCAAATTGTTATGCAATATCAAGGTATTTCAATTTATACAGTAGGCTTGCGGGTGCACCATGTGAGAGAGAGAGAGAGGATTGAGGAGTCCTGAAAGGGACTCTAAGTAATCTTTCTTGAGGGTGTGTAGTCCTGAAAAGGACTATCCGTCGTCAGGAGTGTAATTCAATTTATTAAAAAAAACATGATGAAACTTCAAGTGCCAATATAGAAATTCAGTGGAATTTTCCCTATATTTTCTAATGTACTTTCTTTTAAAATGTGGGTTATTTGGGTATACTCCCTTCAAGTACCAAACAGAAATTCAGTTGAATTTTCCCTGTATCGTCTAATTTACTTTTCAACATACATATATTTTCATCACTCTGCTGTTTGAACTTGTCTGATATGCACTCTAGCTACTATTTCCATTCCTTGGGGAGCTTTCCTGTTTTATAAGTGCTGATAAATGTTCTATATTTGTAGCACATTCATCCACATGGATGTTCTACAGAAAACAAAACTTGTAGAATAAACAAAACAACTGATATGAAGACGGTAGATCACAAATAATTAAAATTATTTATTCCCTCATTCAAAAAAATCTGTACAAATGTAAATCTAAAAAACATTTTTATTTGAACTACAGTGGGTTTAACAATGGAAATCTGGAATGGTAAAAATGCTATACTTTAAAACAAGTACTCCATTTAAGGCACCCAGAGGTTGGTGCTCGTATTGTTTTCACTTCTATTTACTGTGATCATATTCACAATAAGGGGGGGGGGCAGTGGTATATGTTACTCTCAATGCAGTATTCAAAAAGTTACAAAACAAAGCAAGGATGGGTTTACCAACATTGGTTTACAAATTGTAACATTTCTTCTAGGCAAGGATAGGATATGGGGGAATTATCTTGATCACAGGTAGTATGTACAAAAACATAATAATGATTTCAAGAACTGTCAAATGATACACAAGACATTATTTTTTAATTGCACATATTGCTAATGTATAATGTGACTCCCTTCATAAGTTCATTCAAACATCTAATGAAAACTTTCTGCATTTTATGCATATTCTTAAACTCATTTAAATGAAGGTGTTAACTCTTCAGTCTAAAAGAGGATGTAAAACTCTTCAATTACAAGTGCATACACACTGGGTTCTAGGACAACTATCCCTTTGACTATTACTCTTGGATAACTACCTTCCTCAGAAAGCCTCCCCCCCCCCCCTTCATGAAAAGGACCCAGCCTTTTTCTCCTTAAGGGTAGTTATGAGGGGTGGGAGGGGGTAGCTTATTACGGGGATAGCTGTATGTGGGTGGCAGTCGAGGTTTAGTCGTCCCGACTTCATTATTTCAAATTCAAATTCAATAAATACAATTGTAAATTTCACTGAACAGCTATGTAATAGCATCTGGAGTACTTACCTTTATATCAGAAAATTTGGCAAGTGAGGGTATTGCGAGAACGATTTCCCTGATTCTAACTGTTCTTCTACCCTCTAAATCTGATGAAATCACATGATATTGGCTAACTGGCTCAATCATAAACCTACTAGTTCCATAGCTGAATATACATGTACCGGTATATGTTCACAGCAATTAGTAGTCAATGTTTCACATTCAAAACTAGTCTGAGTCCTCATCTCCTTTCTAAATCTGACAACATCAAATGAGGATCAGAAACATTCCTGAATATATAAAGTTCCACTTCAGTTACTAGTCAATGCTTCCCAATCATCATCACTATCGTAGAGGTGTCGTGATCTAGTGGATAAGTTGCTGGACTGCAGATCACAAGGTTTGCGGTTCGAGTCCCATGGCAGCACTTATGTCCTTTGGCAAGAATATTAATCTACGTTTGCCACACTTGACCCAGGTGAGGTAAATAAGTACCTGGCAGGAATTATTTCTTGAAATGCTAGAGTGCCATTATGCTAAAGCTGGGTTAATAGTTGTGGAGCGCCAGGAGTGGCAACTCTGAGAGACACTAGGGCTATACAAGAACCAACTATTATTATCATTATTAGTATTCCTCACCGTACTTACTGAAGTCAAAACTATCCTCTGTGTCCTCTGATGAAATGTATCGGTTACAGTAAATCTACTCGCTATTAAACATCAAATGAATGATAACATGGTACCTTCCTTGATATATAGTTCCACTAACAGTTGACGATGCTTTCCAATCATCATCATAATTCCTCACTGTACCTTGAGAAATCAAAACTAGCCTCCGTGTCTTCGTCCGAAGATGATATATCAATACCAGAAACTGACCTTCCCTTAGGCCGTTCTTCCTGACTGTCCTCTTTATCCTGACTACCCTCATCTGAATATTCCTTTCTCAGTTCTAGAGTACTGTCATCATCCTCCTCATCATCGTCAAGGTCCTCGTGGTGTGCTATACTCGCGACACCTGGGTTCTGTCCGGTCCGACCCTGCTGGCCCTTGGTCATCACCAGTTCGTTCTCCTTATTCTTGAGGAACTTGAAGACGGACTTGAAGCTGGTCCAGGACGTCTCAGCGTGGACCTGGGTGCCAGCAGAGACCTGCTTACTGTCCAGGGTCCTCTTGGGAGGTCGGGGGGTGTCCAGTGGCTGAATGGATGATACCCAGTTCACAGTGTTCTGAACATGAAGTAAACAAATAATAATTGATTCTTATTAAGCACTATTACAGACAAACTGATGAGAGCGCTATTACAACAGAAAAGAAAAATACAAATCATAACGATCAAACAAGGAACAGTAATTTAGATACTCAAAACATACATTATATGGATTCAAGTTGGAGAGAGTTTGGTTTGAAGTTTCTTTTTGAAAGTGTCTTCTGTAATACATAGGCAGAGGTGTTGTGGTAGAGTGTTCCAGATGGAACATGGAAGATAAAAATAAAATGTGTATTATGGAGAACCTTGTGTCTATGTCATTAAAGATTTCACTTGAAATAAGCAAGGATGTATTTTTTTTTATAAAAGCTACAATTATTACTCTGACATCATTCCTGATATCCTCTAGAGTCAGCATGACAAATATCAGAATTTGTTTCTGAAAAATCTTAGCCAAGCAACAAAACTAGATGGAATTTTTACTGCGCGCAGTCGAAAATGATGCCTCCGCCATAGAGCAATTTAAACAAGTTTGGAGTTTAAATCTCCAGTGGTTCTTGAGATATCATGATAACAATCTCAATGTATGGAATTTCATAAGTTGACCTCTGTGACCCTTGACCTTTGACCTACGTGCTCCAAAATCTAATCAGATTGTCTTCCTATGGTGATACACACTATCATTAAGTTTGAAGTTTAAATCTCCAGTGGTTCTTGAGATATTATGATAACAATCTCAATGTATGGAATTTCATAAGTTGACCTCTGTGACCCTTGACCTTTGACCTACGTGCTCCAAAATGTAATCAGATTGTTTTCCTATAGTGATACACACTATCACTAAGTTTGAAGTTTAAATCTCCAGTGGTTCTTGAGATATCATGATAACAATCTCAATGTATGGAATTTCATAAGTTGACCTCTGTGACCCTTGACCTTTGACATACGTGCTCCAAAATCTAATCAGATCGTCTTCCTATGGTGATACATACTATCCTTAAGTTTGAAGTTTAAATCTCAAATGGTTCTTGAGATATCGCGCTAACAAACTCAATACAAGGAATTTCATAAGTTGACCTCTGTGACCTGTGACCTTTGACCTACGTACTCCAAAATCTAATCAGATCGTCTTCCTATGGTGATACATACTATCCTTAAGTTTGAAGTTTAAATCTCAAATGGTTCTTGAGATATCACGCTAACAAACTCAATACAAGGAATTTCATAAGTTGACCTCTGTGACCTGTGACCTTTGACCTACGTACTCCAAAATCTAATCAGATCATCTTCCTATGGTGATAAATACTATTCCCGAGTCTTAAGTTTAAATCTTAAATGGTTCTTGAGATATTGTGATAACGGTCAAACGGGACGGACGTACGGACGTACGGACGTACAACCCGAAAACATGATGCCTCTGGCACCACCTTCGGTGGCGGAGGCATAAAAACAAAATCATTTACTATTCAAAGGAATGCAAGATTGGGTTTTACAGGTTCTGCCAGTGAGATATGGAAATCAATCCCATTTCAACAACAAGATCATTGCAACTTTTAACAAGACACAAACCAAAGACATGTGCTTACCTTGGCGAAGAATTTCTTGATGTTATGTGAAATACCAGGCGTTCCCAAGTGGTGGATGGAATCGGTGAAAGCAATGGCAAATACTTTCTTCAGGAAGGATTGCTCTCTTTTACTTGCCTAGTTGAGAAAAAATTGAGGAACAATATCAGTGTGGTCAATGGATTATTCAGTTCATGTATAATGCATACCATATATTTAAAATGCCTCTAAGAGCTCTTGAACAATCACCCCAGATAAGATGCTGAAGTCCTGAAGGAACTATGAAAGTCAGAAAAATTTTTACATGTGTTTTACCCATTTCTAGGCAGGAGAGTGAAACTCCCAAAACATTAGCTGATAACCTAATGCAAAATTGTGAGCCTGTTTAAAAATCTTGAAACTCCCTTTTACGTGATTATTCAATAAGGATAATGATTCTCCAAAGTTTTCACATTCCTTGCTAGATGAACTACTTTATAGTCTGATTTAAGTCCAACTTACTATATGTTCTGTAACACTGCCACCCATACTGTGCGCAACGATGGCGACGTGTCTGACAGGGCGACTGGCTACAAACTGATCCCATACATAGACACCATGCTCGTAGGGACTGGAACTTTTCTGGAGAAAAAAAAAAGAATGGAAAGAAAATATTATGCATTCAATAAATATATCATACCCATGCATTTTGGCACATAAACTAACCTGTAATATAAATATTAATTCAATCGTTCGTTCGTGTCTCCTTAGATCAAGATTAATGTATCTTGATCTTCAGAGTTGGACTACAACGAGCCGTGTCAGACACGTTGCCCTGGGGTGCGAGATAGGACTCTTGTAGCATGCCCCATCAATTCAATTCAATTTAATTCAATTCAATTCAATTCAATTCAATTCAATTCAATTCAAATCAAATCAAATCAAATCAAATCAAATCAAATCAAATCAATTCCATTCAATTCAATTAATGATTATTAGGAAGGAAGAGTAGTTTTATAAAATGCACAAATCTATTTTGAGACTGTGGGACGTGTACAACAAGGGAGGAATGAAAAATTGTATGTAAAATTACTTCTAATGAAAGACAATAATATTGGATTATCAACTTGCCTTTTTGTCTACACATTTCAACCAAACTGAATTGAGTTAAGTTAAATTGAACTGACTTGTGAAGGAAAAAAATTTTTTGGATCAATACACTTGCCTTTTTTCTCTACATAAATTTAAGTAAAATGGCATTTAAGGTAAAGGGCAATTCCACGGTAACGGAAGGACACTCAGACAAGATTTTTGAACTTCAGGTTCATACTAAAAGAAATGTTTTATTAGTATGTATTAAACTATGGGGAACAAAATGTGTTTCAGTCAAGTGGGAAGCTTCATCAACTTCACAAAGTTTGGATAAACACTAATTAACTGGAAAAACCATGTCCATTTTTATGTCCTTCCGTTACCGAGATAATTAATATGCACATTCTTAAACTACTTAACTATAATGACAATTTTTTGTGTGAAAATTAAAGGCACTTATATAGGTATTATATCTATACTGTTTCACATCTTATACTAATAAAACAGTTCTTTTAGTATGAACCTGAAGTTCAAAAATCTTGTCTGAGTGTCCTTCCGTTACCGTGGAATTGCCCTAAAGTCAACAGTTAACTAGCACCACTGAACTACAAGTTGTTACCAAGAGAAAGAAATGGGTCATAAGAGTCACGAGACATCTTTGATTGACAGGTTGTATATTACACCGGACATACTCATGTGAAATTAACACACGCAGGTATGAAATTAACCCGAGCAGAATGTGCAATTTACAATCAGCTTGTAAATTACAGGATGGAAGAAATCTACAAGAAATAACTAAGGAGTTGATTTCTTGGCCAAAGTTTGTGAACAAGAAGGAATGTAATTGACAATATGGGTCAGTGACTGGGCATAGATTAATGCAACATTTGGGATTCAATTTCAGGACATTGAATTTGAATTGACTTAATTTTTTTTACTGTATTCTTACATTTTTCATCAATTATAAACTATTTTAGTTTGATCTAAATCGTAATTATTTCTTGCTTCTCCATTATTAAAGTAACAGAGTACAATATATTTCTTCTTTTTTTCACCTAGACAAGGCAAAAGATCCTACATTTTAGAATTATAAAAACAATGGTTTGTTTGAAATAATCTGTAATTCTAGCATTAAAATAAAGATTTTTATGTTCAGCTACAGACTGTTAAAATCTCAGTGCTGGGTACTGGATTTAATTTCAAGCTTACATGAGTTTATCAAAAGCCATAATTATGACATCGGTCATAAAATTGTAGCTATGTTAAAGCTTAGCATCAGGTATAAGTTTTAAACAGGAAGGGTTTTACTATTCAAACTTACCCTAATGGTTAGGCTCTTCCCTCTGGAATCCAGACCTCTGTTCTCATTTGTGTTCATGACAAGAACCTCATATCCCTCCTTCAGATAACAAAATGAAATATTAGAAATAACGATAATTCATTATTAAAGCAAAAATGAGGAAACAGAGACATAAATGACAAACTCTGCTCTGACTAAATTTACTTCCCTGCCCTTGAAAATAATGAATAGTCACCCGATTTAGCAACCAGCAACAGGTCAAAGTCACCTGTCTACAAAGACCATATTTTGTGCCACCCCCCCCCCCCCCGGCTCATTCTTCTCATTTAAACGTGTTTAAGAAAAACTGTGTAAAGACCACCTGTCTAGGAAGACTGCTTGTTGCATCTCGCTTGAGTGGTCTTTCTTTTCATTTTTCATTGTATCTCTTTGAGCCTTTGTCAATAAAAATCATATGTTTACTTTTTTTTACAGAAATATTATTTAGAGTATTTTTTACTTTACCTGTAGAGCTTTCCTAATATAAGGGAGCTGAGTGCCGCTATCAAGGCAATCATTGACAATCAACTTCCTGGCCCACTGGCCCGCTCTAACAGCACCTGCCCCATTGATCAGGACTAGTAGCTTGTCTCTGGTGACCAAGGCATTCTTACTGGCAAATACAAAGCTCCTGGGCTCGTCTTCTTGAAGATCTGTCTGATTAAAAGTAAGGGGAGCAACATGGTTAATATAAAGACTGCCTGGGTTCCATCAAGAATTGAGCATTGTTACTGGCAAAAACAAAGAGGCAATGCAAACAGTAACATATTGTATAGTCTCTCTGAGAAGCAACTTCTATCCATTTATATTGTCTTAATCATTATTGTTTACTTTATGTCTTGTAATATGTTTCAACAGTTGCACTACATTGTTGTTCCATATCTTCTTCTTTTTTCTATGTTTGAATATCATGCATTATATGTAATGTTTTGATATGTTCTTAACTGTACAGACAGGGCCCCTTGGAAGATCGATACCCTTTAATGAAAGGGCCATGCGGTGCAAAGAATGAATGATAAATCAATGAATGAATGAATGAATAAATGAATGAATAAATTGATAAATAACATAAAAAATATATCATAAATTAAATAAATAAACAAACAAACACACAAACGAACAAATAAAACAAATAATTGAATAAATAAACAAATACATATTTTGATAAATGAATGTAAACAAGGCTTAACACTCACTGGAATGTCTATTCTCTGTAACTTAGTCTCTGTCTCCAGGAGTTTATAGATGTGTTGGGTGAGGATTTTACCAAGGGCCTCGTACCTACGCTGGTTGTACATGGGATTACCTTTCTTGAATTCAAACTCATAAGGCTTCCCTGTGACAGTGTGTCTCAGCTGGCCCTCTGGGAAGAAAGAATAATAATAATAATAACAATATTAATAATACTGTAACTTAGTCTCTGTCTCCAGGAGTTTATAGATGTGCTGGGTGAGGATTTTACCCAGTGCCTCGTACCTACGCTGGTTGTACATGGGATTACCTTTCTTGAATTCAAACTCGTAAGGCTTCCCTGTGACAGTGTGTCTCAGCTGGCCCTCTGAGGAGGAAGAAGAATAATAACACTACTCGAGGAGTCAGTGACACAAAGACGTAACTCCATTTGGCCATTTTGAGAAAAAGTGGTTTAAGGATAGAGGTCCACATGAGCCTTAAGTACATGTAGTTAAGTCTATGTTTCACAAGCCATTGACTTTAATGGGGTGTTGGGTGGAGTTAAGTCTTTGTGTTTCCTGGAAAACCCACATTTTTCTGAACATTTTAATATCAAATACTCATTTTGGCAACATATGGAGTTACGTCTTTGTGTCACTGATCCCTCGAATTACAATAATGATAACACTTATGTCTTGTTCACTGAGGGTAGCCTCATCAGTATTAAAACTGTTCTCTCTGAGCACCCTGAAATCATAAGCTCATTTAAACTTCCTAAGTGACCCATTGTGCCTACCGTTACATTACTTCTCTATACCCATGGAAGCAGAGAGTTTCAGGACTATACAGCTACAGCTGACCTGAGATGGCGCTAGAGAGAATTTTTGCAATAGTGCTTCTAGTACAGTATGGCTTTAAGCCTTATTCCATAGCAAAAATAAAACAACATTTCTCTATCTTATAACACACATAAATGTGAGTACACTGAGGGGCCTATGTTATGCACACTGATTTTTTTAATACCCCCACCTGTCATTAATTTATACATAAAATAGTTTTTTTGTTTTTCCAGGGGTTTACTGCTGTCGTATACCATGCGATATAAGGACACACAGCCATCTTGAAAAGTCTCAATAAAGCCAGAAAATTGAAACAGATGCCTGAAACGTAACACTTGTTATAAAAGCTGGTAGGGAAAAAAGATGGAATTACTCAGAAACCAGGATCTTTAAGTGCACGTCAAAAAGCCACATACATGAGAGGATTTATGAAGTGCTTTTGCAAGCCTGTTGTATCGGTTGTGTTCTGTATATTACCAGTTTGCAGTAGCTACATAGAACAGATTTATATTGAATGTATTAAAGGGAGATGGTCATCAGTTTCCATGTGCAGAAGGCCACAATTCGCTTTAATACCATTAATGTGCGTTCAAGTCTGCACACAGCAAACATGAAATAGAAATACCCACTAGTACCACTAATATTGAAGTGCCTTAAAGATAAAGACCAGTTATGGTAATGCGATTGCATTGTGAAAGAAACGCTGTGGAATCGATTGGAAAAGGTTGATCATCTAGCATATAAGTATTGGTGTGTACTGCAAGGTTCTGGAATCATCAAAGTGATAAGAAATTTGGCCCAGTCTTGGTAAAGTTACAAGCACTGTACACAGAAAGATGTTTATGGGACTACGTACACGTGCGTCACACGTGCGTTATATCTATCAGGTCCAAATAGATATAATAATTTACCAAATATTAGTAGGCGGTTTCTCAGCAAAATTTGTATGACCACGTATTACTCAAAACATATTCTTTCACAGGATTGATAATAAGAGCTTCCATTTCATTTTTTGAGAGGGGGGAGTTTCCAAAACTCGTCTTTACCTTTAAGCACCTTGTGTGATGGACATATGCACCATAAAACATTTCCAATATTATTATCATTATTATCATTATATATCATATCGTCGGTGGGGTGACAAAACCTCGTATCTCAAAAATCATGAATTTTCAGGAGAGCAAAAAAATTTCCTGTCTCAACAGATTTAGTGCTGTGACACCATCCTTTCTTTTAAAAACAGGAATATTTATACAATTTTTAATGTCATTGTTGAAATACAGTAAAATAATTTTTTTTTATATTTGAAAGTGAGTTTCAAGGTTTTTTGCATTTATCTACATCGAGATACAAGTTTTTAGTTTTTATCCAAATTGAGATACGAGTTCTTACTTTCAACTCTAAATGAGTTACGAGGATTTGAATACAATAACTTCGGTACTGCTAGGCCGTGTGTGAGTTACAAGGAAAAGGGATTACGTATCTTATGTTACGAGGTTTTGTCAGTGCAGCTTCAAAGGGGGTTAAAGTTACGAGATTTAGTTTAAGGGTGTTTGTGTGGAATTTGTGAAAAAACTGAGAAGGAGGCGTTCCATGGATTTATCAGTTACAAAATTATGCAAAAAAATCAAAATCTCAAAAAATTGAGATACGAGGTTTTGTCACCCCACCGACAATATAGTGCTTGGTCAAGGGTTGATGATAGGCATATAGTTAATGCCAGATAGAGATAGAGACCACAGAGCATCTGTGAAACAACAAAAACTAGGCATAAATCTTAAACTACTTAAAAAGGGATATTGGAAAGTTTCAGGCGACAAAAAAAGTAAACTTTCAATGTGTTAAAATTTAAATGTTACCTACTTTCATTGAATTGGTACTGGAAGTCCTCTAGTGTTGTAGGGAACTGGTAAGATGTTAATGATTGTTCTGTGCGACTCTTCTTCCTTGCCGGCCCTTCTCCATTACCTGCATCCAATAACAAATCATTTGTATGTTTCACAGGTTTGGCAGCATAGTGAAATGTAGTAGGATGAAAAGAAACATCAGGGGGTGTTTCACTAAGATCCTAAGTCAAACTTATCTCCAAGTTAGACTCAACAATTATGGAAAGCCGTTATCATCTATGAAAATATTTTATGAAAATATTTTGTAAAAGTTATTTTAAAAGGCATAAAATGTTGATTCAAATCTTTCATATTTTTCTATTATCAAGGAGATTCCATGTTCTTGATGCGGAATTCATAAAAAGTCGAAAATACTTGATAAGCCTCTCTTTTGATACATTTTATTTCAAGGCTACAAATGGCTCTTCATAATTTTCAAGTCCGACTTAGAGTTAAGTTCGACATAGGATCTTTGTGAAATACCCCCAGGAACACTAACTGCATATTTAACCACATCGTGAGGATATGGAGCAGGTGAATCCATATACCATCTCAATCAGGCTTAACATTAGTTAAACTTTCATTCAGATGAGTAAAACAAAAAGCTACCTTTCAATTCATAAACCCTTCGGTTATTGACACAAGACAAAATTACCACTGCCATGGTGATTTCTGACTATGGTATAAATAAATAATCATTTAAGAAATAATCCAACACTCTCTAAACTTACTTAAACACTTAGAAATGCGGTCAAGTTCTCAGGTAGGTTCACGTTTAGTTTCTTTAAATGATTTGATCACTTTCTAAGATCACATAGATATATTGATATCATTACCACACATAAAAAATAATTGTGTCAGCATAAGAAATTGCAAATTAGAGAGAATTCAATATTGTTCAATCTTTTGTGCGTGCAGTTTCTTTTTCTTTGCTCTTGGTTGTTGTTGTTGTTTTTGGTGTGTTTTTGTTTTTCCTGGTTCATTGTTTTCATGGGTATATAATTTCAATTTGAGTATGCACACTCAAGTTCTGTTCAAACCTACCCTGGCCTTCACCTCTTAAAAGAGGCCAGGCACCTGTCTATAGTGCTCATACATACAGTGTATATTGTACCCTCCCTTTTAGCCAGATATATGTACTGATGAACCCTTCTAGAAAGGCCACCTGTCTACAGTGGACACTTTTTCCCCCTTGGATGGTCTTTACAGACAAATTTGACAATGGCGATAAGTGGACAAAGAGTCTCTTTATAGTACGACATAATTCTTTCAATATACATGTGTACTGTATTTTCCAACAGTCTGATAATTTGATGTTTCCCTCTTCTTTTGTGATTGCTAATTTAACAAAAACATGGAGCATAATAGGCAAGTAGTATTACAAGTGCTTCTGATAATGAATGAAAATTCATTTATTAAAAAAAAAAGTAATCGAGATTGTTAGTAAACTGCATGTTTTAGGGAGTATGACTTACCTCTATCCATCCGGTTATGTCTGGTGCTCATTGTGTCTTGGGATTCTGGGAGACAACGCACTGACGATATCTGTTTTTAAAAAAAAACCATTTGAGAAAATCTTTCAAGTATTCAAGATGAACGCATTACCCTTCCATGTACATAAAAATATTATTTTTAGGTTGATTCTACCAACACACAATTTATTTTTCAGGTGATGTGTACACTTTATAAATATTTCAAGCACCTTCACACTACGCCTACTTCACACACATTAATCACTTCTAGGTACACAAGGCTCAAAGATAACTTTGGTAATGTGAACAGGCTTTGCAATCATTGAGAGCATTGACCTTGGAAGCTGTCAAACTAACTTTAGCTTCACTTAATCTATGTAAGGAAACTTTGCCACCTATCTATTTACCTAGTTTGAAGTAAAATGATTTGCACGCCTTTCGTAGGACTCGGGAGGCAGGTGCAACTCCTTAACTTCACCTCGGGAACATCGACTGATCGACTCATTTGGAAAGTGACTGATTGATTGATTAAATGCTCTTTAGTAATTGAGTTCTAGGAAAGCAAAGGGTGTAAACTTCACAGGTTCAACATTTTTACAAGTCATGAATTTGAAATCCCTATCTGGGGAATGAGACTATTGCTGGTTAATGAGGCCTGCCAACTCCTATATTTGTTTCTCAACAGCTATGCTCTATAAAAAGCTTGTACATCAATTCTGGTCATGCAGAGCAAAACCATCTATTCATCTAATTCAATTACAATTCACTTACACGTATGGTACAAGTAATGAATGTTGAGCTGGAAAAAATGTTTCTTGATCTATTTCACCTGCGAAGTGTATATCAATCTACCTTAGAACTTCAAAGAGGAAAAGATATACACTTGAAAGTTTTAAGAAAACTTGAACTTTTAACATTAACAAAAAGGAATCATTAATATTAGTTTTCAAAAGAATTAAGCATCACATACAATGAAGCCTATCATCATCTATATACCATGGTTAAAAAGAGGAGACATTTGATATTCTATAAGATTGTCATCACCCATGTAACCTGTGAACTGATTAATTGACATCTAGCTTTTGAAAATGGTTGAGGGGTATTATCAATGGGGCTCTTTAAAGATTTACATGTAAATGAATGTCACACACAGGCGCGTAGCCAGGGGGGGGCGGTGGGGGCGGTCGCCCCCCCCAAAAACGCCGGCCAAAAAAAAAAAAAAGAGAGAAAGAGAAGAAAAAAAAGAAAGAGGACGTAGGAAGAAAAAGGGAAAAGGAGTCAAGAACGGTACAATGAATCGTCAAAGGGGGAAACTGAGTTCAAATTAAGAAATATGAGTCGGGAAAGGTACAATGAATCGTCTCCTTTCTCTAATAATTTAATGAAACGTCAAAGCTTCGCGCGAGAGGGGGGGGGAACAGAATTCAGACAAGGATTAAGAGTCGAGAAAGGTACAACGAATCGTCTTCTTTCTCTAATAATTTAATGAAACGTCAAAGCTTCTCGTGAGAGAGGGGAGGGACTGAATACAGATAAGGATTAAGAGTCGAGAGAGGTACAACGAATCGTCTCCTTTCTCTAATAATTTAATGAAACGTCAAAGCTTCGCGCGAGAGAGGGGAGGGACTGAATTCAGACAAGGATTATGAGTCGAGAAAGGTACAACGAATCGTCTTCTTTCAAAGCTCCCCCCTCCCTGCACCCACCCCCCTGTGATTCGCACGCTTTGCGTGCTCAATACCGCCCCCCCTAAAATGAAATCCTGGCTACGCAATGTCACACAAAGCATTTATGTTTCTTATCAATGATTTGGCTTACCAAGTGCAGAGATGTGATGCAGCAAGCAATGACCAACCAGTCATGGATCCTGAACGTTATTCGTACAGATGCGCTCTGAAGACAAATATTCATTCCCTAATTGTTGGTAGAACCATGGACCATGGTAGAACTCAGCCTCTGAAGAAAAAATTGCAAACATACACTATCACTATCAGTAGTTTTAGTACTATTACTATATTAACCTATAGGACAACATCAACATGTATCAGTTAAAGGTCAACAATCACCATCGTGCCCAGTATCCAGCGGAATTCCGCAAGGAAGTGTTCTCGGGCCTGTCCTATTTCTCTGTTTCATTGACGATTTGCCTGAGAATGTAACATCTGCAGACGATACAAAAGTCTATAGTGTTGTTGAAAACAGAAGTGATGCTGAAAGCTTTCAGTAGGATATTCAAGCTGTTTCGACTTTCGAGATGGGCTGAGAAATGGCAATTACAATTCAATGTCTTGAAATGCAAGGTCATTCATTATGGGAGGCGTAACCCGTAATGTGACTTCACCCTAGCAAATGCTAAAGAAGTTGGCAACATACCTGTATCCGACTGTGAGAAGGACCTTGGAGTAACTTTTGACTCTGCACTATCATTCTCAGATCATGTGGCAGATGTAGCAATAAGAGCCAACATCAAGTTGGGTATTATGAAGAGATCCTTTTCAAGCCTACACGAAAAAGAATGGCTTAAGCTCTACAAGACCATTATCCGGCCAACTCTTGAAAATTGTTACTCGGTTTGGTGTCCCATGTTAAAAAAAGACAAAGATTTACTGGAATTGGTGCAGCAAAGAGCCACCCGTCAACTCACACATCTACGTCACCTAGAATACCATGAGAGATTGAAAGCCCTCGGATCAGAGACACTCATTTACCGAAGACAGAGAGCTGAGCTGATTCAGATCTTTAAGATTATGAAAGGAATTGACCGTGTGGATATCAACAAATTTTTTCAACTAGACCATGGATCCAGAACCAGAGGCCACAGTATAAAAGTAAGGAAGCCAAAGTGTAAATCAGTGCTTCGTCAAAATTCCTTCTCTGAGCGAAGTTGCAACAACTGGAATTCCTTACCAGACTCAGCAGTTAGTGCAATAAGTGTAAACCAGTTCAAATCCATCCTTGGAAAATATTGGTACAGCCACCCCCTTTAGTCCAGTCCATACCAGAGAGATAGCATTACCTCGACATCGAAGTAAACATTAAACCCGAAGTAAGTAATTATTAAGGAAGACTTACCATAAAATAAGATAGAGTAGTCAGGGGTAACATGAGGAAGGTTAATACATGCATGAGTATCATTTTATAGAGGCATACAATGGTTAAAAACTAAGTTCAAGTAACATCAATCATGATTGGATAATGGACAACAAAAGGCAAACGTGATGAAAATTTAGCTTTAAAAACAATTCTAATCATGAGACAAAGGATTATTTCCAAATGAAATTAGACCTATTGCCTAAAGAGAATAAGAAAGGAGGGGTGTAGAAAGAAAGAGAGAAAGAGAGCGAGAGAGAGAAAGTGAGGGTGCCAAAGTGAGAAAGTGAGAGAGATCTAGATGCACATATATATTTACAGTTTACACTTAGCAACAACAAAAAAGTGTTCTCATTAGAAAAAAGCAACACAGGAGAGATAACGTGGGACTACATGCTGCAAAGGAGGGGGAGAAATAAATGTTACGTTCCACAACGGTAATAATACTAACACCACATAATCATAAATATAATGCATATAATCACAGTGCTTAAAATAATACATTTACAATAGACTATAGATCTAGTCCGATCACTCTTTAAAAACGAATAACATTGACGTGCTTACCTGTTCTGGGCGAATCAGTCATTCGCGTAGTCAGTCAGAGTGTAGTGCAATCGACAAGTCGAGTCTAGTCGATCGACGACGACGGAGCAAATTTGAAATAAATTTTTTAATTTAGTGTGCTGAAATTCGTGGAGACCGATATTTCGCTGAGGGGGGGGGGGGGGGGTAGAGAGCCAGGGGGTGGGTAGAGAGCCAGTGGCGGATTCAGGGAGTGTTACCTGAGGAGGAAAAAACAGGTTAAACACGTTAAATTTACCTTAATTTGAAGACGCGGGCCCCCTCCCCTGGGGGGGGGGGGGTGCAATTTTCAAATATTCGGGGGCGTAAAAAAATAGTGTTCCTTAAAATGTTTCGCCGCTAAATATTTTCTCAAGAATTGGGCCCCATCTTTGTCCCCCTCCTCGGCTGGATCAGCCCTTGGAGAGAGCACAATTTTTTTTTCTAATTTGACCCCGAAAATTTAAAAATCGCGCCGGTCGATATTTCGCTCAGTGGGGGGGGGGGGGGGGGTGGCATAGTGAGCGTTTTTTTTTTTTTTACTCGACACCCACTCCCTTCCCCCCCCCCCCCCCTTGAGCAAAGAAAAAACGTAATTTTTTTGCCAGGTGGGGGCCCTAGCTGCTTTTCATTTTTGTCCCGCTCGCCCCCCCCCCCCAATTCCCCTGGATCCGCGCCTGGAGTGCAAATAGTGTACGTGCTCAAATTTTGTGCTCAAATATTTCCCTTGGGATAATGATAGTTAGAAGAAAACCCTCTTCTTCTTTTTTTGTGGAGTATCAACTATTTCACTTGAATTGTATAATGATGTAAAAGACATATTTCTACAAGGATTTTTAAAACAAATTGTTTGAAGTCAAATATTGATGGTAAGACTATACAACATTTAGGTTTACTGTGTTACAACAGAAAACCCAAATTTTTGTATTCTTCTTTCATTTGTCTTCAATCACATTTTTTTTGGGGGGGGGGGAATCTTCGCATTATGATACAATTAAAGTGAAATATTGCCATCGAATCTTTGGCGAATTTGGGGCTCTCGACACTTTAGAGGGGCTATAAATCTAAGCTATATAAATTCATTAGTGTTATTATTATCATTTTAGACTGTTTTCACGTTTAAAACTATTTAGTGACAAGATGCTCGAGACTTAAGGAGGTATTGTTAGTGCATTGTATTTGTTATTCCTAATTGAATTTCGTCATTCCAGAGTATGGTAATCACAAGGATTTATTATTGAACATTCATTCTGGTACTTTTGCACTTAAAGATTTTAAGAAAAGAATAGGAACTCAAAACTAGCTGAAGTGTTTCTGTGTACGTTTAATGTATCTATTCAACCAACGTCAAGATAGATATAAATATGAAATAACCCAGATAATATCTAGATATAACAAGCCTGTTAAGGAGCTACGGCTTCGGCATTTTATCGTACATTTCGTTCTTCTTATTTCTTATTTTAGTAACCACAACTAAATTGTTTCCACATCGTTTCACTTGCACTACGATATATATTGCATAATTTTTTTTTTTATATCTTTCTCATCGCGCCATGTGAAATTATCGACGATCTTCTTCATCAAAATTAAGTTGTACGGAACCTATTCTTTACAAGCTTAGCTTTTTATTAGGTTCCGTCATATTTCACCATCAAATAAACACATTCGTCTTCTTGTTTAAAAGCTGATAAATAACTCGATCAATAACTAAATGTGTAACATGTATCTAATTTACCCTTGTGTGATTATAATTTACAAAGTATTGTTTTAAATTGTAATATTTGTATCGTGTGAAGGATGGAAACAATAAACTGATACTGAAACTGAAACTTGTTTCCCAAAGGAAAAAAAAAGTTTTTCGTATTAACAAATTGCAGTTTGTACTCAAATTCGTTGGGCATGAATTTCTGGTGTTTTTTCCCCCCTTTTCCAGGAATAAAAAAAAAAGCATTCTTCTTACCGACACTACCAATCACTCGATGTGATTTTACTAATTTGTTTTGTGAGAAAATCATTGAAAGAAATGACAAGAAACTTATGATTTGTAATATATCATTTTATATGGGAATGGTCACACAGTGTGTCCCCTTTTAATATTTTCCCATTATATTTTACAGTTGAACTAGGTTACTGATATATGATATATGATTATTTTATTTTGATATATGATTATTTATTCATTTATTTATTTTGCAAACGAGTAATCGTTTGTGCCATGTCTTTGGAATATGGAATTTTATTTTAACTGTTCTGTATAAACGTAATGCTTTTTGATGTAAATATGTTCATAATTATCCTTTACTCATTCTCATTTTCCTCCTATTGCAACTGCGCCTCCTCTTGTCCCTCCTTCTCCTAATCATCTTCCTGCTCCTTCTCCTGTTTTTTCTTCCTGATTCACCCCTCATGAATCTCTATTCTCATTATTTCATCATTGTAAATCATCATCATCATCATTAAAATCGTCACCATCATCACCATCTCCATCATCACTTTCATCATCATCATCATCACTTTCATCATCATCACCATCACTTTCATTATAATCATCACTATCATCATCATCGTCATTATCACCACCGTCATCATCACTTTCATCATCATCATCATCATCATCATCATCTTCATTATCATCATCTCCATCATCATCACTTTCATCATCATCATCATCAATATCATCGTCATTATCACCATCTCCATCATCACTTTTATCATCATCATCATAGTTACCATCTCCATCATCATTTTCATCATCATCACCATCATCGTCATAATCACCACCATCATCATCACTTCATCATCATCATCATCAATATCATCGTCATTATCATCATCATCATCATCGTCATTATCACCATCTCCATCATCACTTTCATCATCATCATCATCATCGTCATCATCAATATCATCATCATCATGATCATCATCACTTTCATCATCATCATCATTATCACCATCTCCATCATCACTTTCATCATCATCATCATCATCATCATCATCATCATCACCACCGTCATCATCACTTTCATCATCATCATCATCACCATCTCCATCATCATCATCACCATCGTCATCATAATCACCACCATAATCACCACCATCATCACTATCATCATCATCATCGTCATTATCACCACCGTCATCATCACTTTCATCATCATCATCAATATCATCATCATTATCATCATCATTATCACCATCTCCATCATCATCACTTTCATCATCATCATCAACATCATCATCAATATCATCGCCATCATCATCGTCTTTATCACCATCTCCATCATCACTTTCACGATCATCATCATTATCACCATCTCCATCATCACTTTCATCATCAACATCATAATCATCATAATCACCACCATCATCACTTTCATCATCATCATAGTTACCATCTCCATCATCATTTTCATCATCATCGCCATTATCATAATCACCACCATCATCATCATCATTGTCATAATTACCATCTCCATCATTACTTTCATCATCATCATCATCATAGTTACCATCTCAATCATCAATTTCATCATCATCACCATCATCATCATAATCACCACCATCATCATCACTTCATCATCATCATCATCATCATCAATATCATCGTCATTATCATCATCATCATCATCGTCAATATCACTATCTCCATCATCTCTTTCATCACCATCATCATCATCATCATCAATATCATCGTCATTATCATCATCATCACCATCATCATAATCACCACCATAATCACCACCATCATCACTTTTATCATCGTCATAGTAACCATCTCCATCATTTTCACCATCGTCATTACTTTCATCATCATCATCATTGTCATAATTACCATCTCCATCATCACTTTCATCATCATCATCACCACCATCATCATCACTTTCGTCATCATTATCACTTTCATCATCATCATCATCATCATCGTCACCATCATCATCTCCATCATCACTTTCACGATCATCATCATAATCACCACCATCATCATCACTTTCATCATCATCAGCAGCATCATCATCGTCATTATCTCCATCTCCATCATCACTCTCATCATCATCATCATCATTATCTCTATCACTATCGTCATCATCACCATCATCATCATTATCAGCAGCAACTCAATCACCAAACACCATTTACTACTAATCTGATATACACACTTTATGGCAAACTAGTAAAGATTCAAAGAATAAACCAAAACTGTTCTGTTTTATCCCTCCACATCAGTTTATTTAATAAATGTTATACATTGCTATATTACAGTACATGATTCTAAATAGCATACTCACAAATAAAATCATTTAGGATAAAGGAATGACGGAAGATAAAAAAAGAAATCATTATATAAAAACTCATACATTAACAACATCACAAAAGACAAAATGATTACACATATTGTATTATAACTGGATTTGGTTAATAAATCATTCTATGACACAGACTATGTTATATAAAAAATCATGTATTTTCAATACCTTGCAACTTCTAAATTTTTGTACAAAAGATAATAACATACTCACGATTGTAATTATTTCTAACGTATATTGGAAACATTACACACTTAAAAAAGAGAATGAAATTCAGTTGTTATATTGGGAATATAACATTTTAAACATGTATTACATTTCCAAATACAAATCAGCAGCTCATGATATGCAGTAGAAAAATGGTTGTGATAGCATCACAACTCCTTTAAAAAATAAGAAGTAATTTAGCTATAGGCTATACTCACTGTTAATTCAATATAAGGGGTATCACTTTCCAGTTCAGGATTTCAATGAATTACATCATAACCTTATACTCCCTTTACATACCAACTAGAAACTGTAATGAAAAAATGACAAAGTCATATCAGATAAATGTTTATTTTGTGTTAAACTATACAGGGCTAAGAATTAACTGGGGCCCTTTGCACCACATACCCTAGACTTTCTGATCCAGACCTCCCATGGTCATGATCTAAAAGATCTAAAAAAAAATAAAAGTGTGGTTTATTCCATCCTGAATCAACGTCTCTATACAGTTGCAAGGAATGAAATAATTAAAAAAAAACTTGATTAAAAATGTATA